GTCCGGTTTGGTACCAATGTCACCATTGGGGTGACAAGCTCTGTTGTTTACTGGATAGTTGTTTTGTAAAAAAATTTTTTTTAAAAAAAAAACAAACCAAACCACCTTTCTTTGCACGTTTTATATGTTTATAATCCTGATGGTGCTTTCTCATTTTTCTGCCAGGGGTAAAGTGAAGGCCGTTAGTTTCCTCTTACCGATGGATGTGTCCCCGCACGCCGGAAGGCAAGGCTCCCTGCAGAGCCCGCGAAATCAGAGCACGGAACGCTGCGCCGCCGAGCAGGACATGTGAGACGGTGAATTTTTCAAGGCCCGTTTGACCCCTCAGCGACAGCCGCGTGTGTCGGGTCCCCTCTCCTGCAGAACGCTTTGGCCGCGTGCCCGCTGTCGCCCCGGCCCGTGTTCCGGGTCACCAGCCCCGTGTTTTTAGCACGTTTAAACAGAAACAGGAGCTGAGCGAGAGCTGAGGAGGCAGGTTTGGATGCGTTGGGCACCAAAATAAAACCCGCAGGAAAAGTTAAGGTGCGAAGAGTCGGTCGATGATGGTCGGGATTTCTGCAGGGTTGGCAGCGGCTGTTGGTGTCCCTCTACGGGAGTAAGTGCCCCTCGGTGGCTGCTACAACCCGCTTCTGACTTGGCGCAACCACCCAGGCAGGCAGGGACTGACCTCCGAGTCGCGACAGGGAGAATTGTGAATATCACAATATTTAAGAAACGGCTTCTCGGCCCGGCGTCGGGCCATTGGGTCGAAAACCAGTAGCAGAAATTCAGCTAACGGGTGCAAAGTAAATGTGAGAAAACACTACAAACAGCTTGTAAATAACGAGGAGTGCTTGCTAGCGCTAGTGAGACCAGCACGGGTGGTGTCTCGTGTTTGTTTTGATTGTGAGCGTTTATGGAACCCAAATACTGCACGTTCCTATTTCTTTATGTACAGGCAGCACCAAAGATTGACTGAGCGTGCGTGAACAGTAGGTGTTTGCACCGGTAACGTTAAGGAAGATTTTCACCTCATTCTTTACTCTTCAACTCTTGAGCTTTCAAAAGGGAAAGCAGAGACCTAGCAGGGAAAAAAGAATCCCCTCTGGATTTTCTGTGATGTCGTGTGAAAACCCGCACTCCTTTTTTTTTTTTTCCCCCCCCATTTTGCACCTCACCGTGGTTTGTATATATTTTGTATATATTGTATATATTTTGTATATTTTTTTTTTGCTGTATTCTCACCAATGAATCTCGATTTCCCTGCTCTTTTCTTGGTGGGTTTTTACGTTCGGCTTGGGTCCGCTCGCTGTTGCGTTGCGATGTCTGAAGTCAGGAAGGGAGGACTTCCAGCAAATGAGGGTACTCTATGGAGAATTCGCCGCACAGCTCGTTTGAGAGGGAATTTACAGGGAAATGCTTTCTCTGTGTTTTAAAGAAAGCTTCATTGTCGGAAACTAGACACTGTGTATGTGTCCCGTGAAGTCCCTAAATCCAGCTGATTTCACTGAGCAAAGGAACAAATGTCTTTGAAAACCTGGCCCCTAGAACTTTAAGGCAGTCGAGCTTTGGACAACTCATGTTCAGACACCAGATGTAATGGGGTTCGGGAACCCACAGCTTTCAGAAGTCCCAACCTGGATATTTTCTAAGCCTCGGGTTGTGTGAAGCAGCAGTGGGAATTCTCTTCTGCCACCCTTTTCGGTGCCAGTTCCCTGTCAGTAAGCACAGGACAGCGTCCGCTGGAGCGGGCTGCCGAGTCCCACGTCACGCAAATACCCGTACCTTGGGGTGCAGTCAAGTAGTTAAACTCACTGGGCATTTATCAGTGGTATAACAGTGTTAAACTTTTGTAAATTGTAGGGGAAAGAGCAGAAAAGGTGGGAGGGAAAAGAGGGAAAGGAATCAAAGCAGCCATTGGCGAAGAGCAGCCAGTGTGTTAATGGAAAGATTTATTTCCGAATGGCATTTTCGCCGCCTTTAGCAGCGCCCACAGGTTGGAGAACACGTGATGACACGCGGGTAACTTTTACACGCAGTTACGCAGACGAGGCCCAGGTCTGCATCTCCAGGAGAAGCAGATTCTAAGCAGAGGCCACAGAGGAACCGGGGAGCACACCAGGTTTACCACAGCACAGCGTGAGGAACCTCAGCACGGAGCGCTTGCTAGCGATGAAAACACTCACGGGTAATGAAACGTGCCTCTAGGCTGGGGGTAAAAACGTCATCGGAGTCGGGAGAAGCTTCACATTTACATCATTGTTAGCGAGAGAGGAATTGGGTGTTGTCTTTAGGAAAGTATTTTTTTAAAGCTACGGTTGTAATAGAGAAGTGCAAAGCCCTGGGCTCTGCACCGCTTGGGAGGAGGCGCGAAGGACGGAGGGGGCGTTGAGAGGTTGCGTGGCTGATGGCAGCACACGGTCAGGCGTTTGAGCCCCAACACCCAGCGTCGCAGTGACAACCCTCAGGTGCGTCTTCAGCCTACAGGAGATCTCGCCCAGGTGGGGAACAGTCCTGAGCGAGAGCAAAATCCGCATAAATAAATAGAGGAATAAATCAATCCTGCCATTCGTAGAACGGTGCTGCCCAGCTGAGCCGTGGGAAGCGCTCGGGTTGAAGGGTGCAGCTACATCGGTGTTTCGGTCCGAGTCGGGTGAAGTTTGGTCTGAGTTCGGTCCTCCTGAGCGACGTCCCTGCTCAGCCCCACGTTACCGTGCTTTGTTTTCCGTGGAGGAGCCATCTCAAAACACAACTCGACCTTTTCTGTGTGAAACCGAGCCCGGGGACGTGCTTCTCTCAGCGTGGAAGTAATTCAGACACCAGGTAAGCGACGCTGATCTCGAACGCCGCTATTTTCGACGTTAACAATATTAATCCCAGCGCTGACAGGCTCCCTCTGTAGTCCTGAAATTTTATTTTCAGGATGGAAAAATACAGATCGTGTTAGATCTATTCCGCGCTTCCGCTGCGGGATGCCTTTCCCCAACAAAAGACCCGTTAAGAGATTAAACTGTCATCGCAGTTAAAATGTGGATTAATCTCTGCTAACCTGACGCGGGGAGGCTGTTGGCTGTGCTGAAGTCGAGACAGATGGTCACTTCAGGGAACATTTCTTTTACGGTGAGAGCTCAACTGAGAACGAGTATTTCTAGCTGGATGAGTCACCTCGTTCTCAGTTGCTACATGAGATAACAGAAAGTGGTTTGCGTTTTTTTACGTAGGGATATTCAAAGACATGGCAAAGGCTGAAAAATACGTCCTCAAAGCGTCTTGCAGTGGTTTGCTTCTCCAGTGAGGGTATTACACGGCACGTGGAAATTGATTTAAAAGAAAAAAGAAATAAATCCTCCATTGTTTTCTTTTTGCTTGAAACTCTGATGAAATGTCTCTTTTTTCTTGGTTTTTTGGGGTATTTTTTTACAAAATCATGTGGTACCTGATATACAAAACTAGTCCCACGACAGCCCGAATGCACTCAACCGTAACCGGATCGCTCCACGTAATGTACAAAGTGGGAAACTTCAGAGCAAAGTGCAGAAATTGGAGCGAACGTTTCTCACGTGTGGCCCCTCGGCAGCAGATTTGACTCTTCCCCGGTTTGAGTTTGGAGGAGGACGAGGACCATCGTCATCATCATCGTCCTCAGCTCGCTGGTTGCCATGGAGACTCCCATCACTCCTGGAATCGTAAGTTTTGCCTGCAAGGAAACAGTTTTTAATGACTGTGGAGGTTTCTGTTCGTCGGCACGGCACACGCTAGATTACCTACCTCGTCTAAGCAGATGGGAGGGAAGGGAGTGAAGTATTTTCTAGTATTTAGTCCGTGTAAGACCTACAAAACACGGGGTCTGAATAGAATTATGAGAATTGCTGCATCAGATTAGACTGTTAGGGCACCCGTTATGTGCAAAATGGACGGTTTCACCTGGTCTGACTTAAGGCATGAATACATTTTTATGTATAATGAAGGCGCAAGATTAAGCCTCAGTTACTTCCCTGGCCCTGCTGTCTCTGCTAGTTGGTAGCTGTATAACTACCTGTTAAATCTGCAATTTTCGCTTGATTTCTCCTTCTGAGGCTGTTGGGTGCATCTGTGGGGCCATCGGTGTACTTCATGGCAATGGCTGGGGTCTGGTCCTTCTCTGGCTGAGCCTGAGCAGCTGAACAAAGAACAGAAAACAGGCATTTAATTGAGGTGTGTTAACTCTCGTTTGTTCCAGGAGGGAAAGGTACGTCGATTTGACTCTACCTGGCTGATGACAACTTGATATTGCTTCGGTCCTGCCTTCTTGAAAGGACTGAACGGATTCGTGGCCGGAATCTAAGTCTTTCGTTGGCCTTCCCATGATCTCATTCTCAGTTGCAGTTTTATTTCTAATGAGGAAGTAGGTGTGCATTTTCCCTTTGCCTTTCACTTCTATTTCTCCTCTTTCAGTCATCTCGAAGTTCTTGTATTTTAGGCACCTGAAATATCAGAAGCAAAACAACACGTGAAAAGTCCAGGTTGGCAGAAACGACACTTGATGTTCTGGAAGGGCTGCTGTAACCAAGTAATCAAATCACAGCAGTCTGGGAAGAGCAGCGTTGATCCGTGAACAACAGAGGGGTTCTTTATTTGAGCCGTGCTTTTATAGCTCTACGCCTTACAGCCTGATCAAAACCCAATGGAGCCCATCATCAAATACTTCAGTGTGCTGGAGGGTTTATTATTTGACAGTAAATATAAATTAAGAACCGAGGCAGCAGCTCCTCTTATTGCCTTTGAACCCTCCTGGCCTGTTTCAAACTCTGTGTGAGTTCTGGCTTTCCTAACACGATTCTGGCCATGTTCTTGTGCTCCTCCTTTGTAGCTCATCTTTGCTTCCACCTCTTGCACGCATAAAATTCTCAAAAATGTAGTATGTAGTTTTTCGTGACGTGGAGTTCAGGAAAGTAAATTCTCGCTGTGTGACTAGGGTAGTGGTTTATGCAGTTAATCCTTAAATAAAACTATTTCACCCCTAATCGTGCTCAGTCAGAAGAGACCTTAAAGCTTCTGCTATGCAGGATGTCAAGTTAAACGTTCTGGCCGCCTTCCTAGCATCTACATCGCTCTGCCGGTGCTTCCAAACAAGCTAGCGCAATAATTCTTTTCCCATATTTTGCTCTCTGGGATTGAGGTTCTCAGACCTCTGTCTCCATATACGAGCGTGTTTGAAATAATCAGAATAAATGAAAGCCTTTGCAGGCAGCAGTTTTGCTGAAGACAGCCCCATTGTCACAGAGAGCTGCCGCTGTCAAGGCAGTGGTTTTTAGCAGAGCTTTTAATGGGCAAAGTTTCCATCTCGGTTACTCACTGGTAGGCACTGGAGCTCAGGTGAATTTTACTCGGGACCCCGTGACTCTCCATGCGGGAAGCGATGTTCACCGTGTCTCCAAACAAGCAGTAACGAGGCATCTTCTCTCCGACAACTCCAGCCAAGACAGGACCTGTGTGGATCCCAACTCTAATCTTTGCAAAGACATAAAACACCCCCCAGAAACGTCACTTGTTATTTAACAGCTCTCTTAATGCCACACAGCCACCTAAAACTTCATCCGAACACAACACCGGACACCAGTAAAACATCAAATATCCACAGGGAGGGGCTCTCTGTGACAAACACGTGGGCCACGGAGGAGTCGGGAGCAGCTCTCTGATGTCCTCCTGCCGCGCAACAACCAGGAGCCTGACCCCAGCAGCAGACAGACACGCCTCCGCGGCCGTGACTTACTTGGATGGGGCTCCCGGACACGGGGTTCTGCACGCCCCTCGCCGCTATGATCATCCCCAGGGCGAAGTTAGCGACGCGCTCCGCGTGGGTGGGCACGGGCACGGGGACCCCGCCCACCACCATGTAGGCGTCTCCGATCGTCTCCACCTTGAATGGAGAATATATGGCTGGAGATGAGCCAGCAGGGTGCCCAGG